CATTTTAGGCAAATTAATGGCAAATTTCAAAGATAAGAAGTCAGATTCAGTCACCAAATAATCACAGCATTCTAGTCTTAACTTTCCTTTTTATTTGTTGAAATATAAAATTATTTAGGCGATAGTTGTACACCGCCACAGATAGCAAACAAATAGGTAACTGGTTTTGAGCTGTCTTTGTCTGTTGTTAGTTGGATTATATGTTGTCCAGTACACTGTACGATTTTATTCCTAAAGTATCGTTAAACTTTATTTTAGACTGATTCAAAATCTTCTTACGACAATAGGCTTCACTAGAGCACATGCAACTTTCTAGGGCTGTTCTAAGCCATTGGAGACTTGGTAGGGATCGAATTACAATGAACTGTCTGATCTCTTATGTCATGTGAGGTTAAAAGTTGGGCAATAATAGTGAGATTGATTTCCACTTTCTTTGGTCAGAGCTGTGGCATGCATCAAGGATAAAACAGGTCTCTCTTGTAAAAGTTGTTTCTTCAGGAATTTGAAATATAAGTGGGGGGCAGGGGGGAGCTGGAATTAGTACCATGATGGTGTGCTGCAGTGCTGTGTTGTAAGGCCTTTCGTTGATGCAACACAGTGGGGTCAGAACTGATGTTCCACTGTGTGTAAGTGTGTGTGAGCAGCTGGGCTGGCAAGAGCAGAACCCTCAGCCCAGCCTGACTGTCCGGGGCAGCCCTGGTTCATTCTGCTCTGCTGAACAGACACAGCACTTGGCCCTGCGTGAGCTGCACGGCTCGGGCTTTTAGCTTTGAAGAACCTTACTGTGCTGGATGCAGTGGTATGTTTTGGATAGGAATTCCAGCTAGATACAGAGTATCATGAATTGTTTGGTAAGGGCAGTGTGTGGGTATGTGGGGGGGGGGGAGGTGTCTGTGTATGACTGTGTGTCTGTGTCTATGTGTAGTCCCCATGTCCCCACCACAGGGTGGGTGTGGAGGAGGTGCCAGGCCACAGCAGTAGCACTCCCTGCTGTCCGAGGGTCCCACGGGGCCGGTCCGTGCAATCCCCTCGGAATGGTTGGTGGAGCAACACTGAGCACCTGGGCAGGTGCCCTGCAGGGAGGGAGGGATGGATGTGGCATTCAGCTCAACAGTGCATGAAGGAAAATGGTCATAAATCTCCTGCAGGAGGATGGTTCTACCCTGCCAATAATCCAAAGTGTATGATAATGTTGCTCCATTAAGATTAGGGGGGAAAAGGGAGAAGAACGTTCAGCTTACACTCGGTCTTGCTCTTTCAGGTTGCTAAAGGGAGTAAATTACGGTTTCTAGAAATGGTTTTGTTTGCTGTTGGCAGCAGCTTCTCCGTGGTGTTATATTTTATTTTCCTGTCAGTGGTTTGGTTCTTGCGTATTTAGGTTGAGGACTGGAGTTGAAGGAGAGCTTGTCTGCATTTTTCAGTAGGATTAGAAAGAGTTCTAATGAAGAAATATGATGAGACAGTACTGCCTACTCAAATTTTCAATTAATTTAATTTATTCTTAGTTAAGGGCACTGGATAAAAGTGGTATTTTAAGTGGTCTCTTTCACTCCTTTCTCCTCTTCTTTAGATATGTCTGCATTACAGAAATGTGTTATGAATCAGGTCACATTGTGTTTCTACTTCTGCAGTTGAAAATTTAAGCTAGGTTTTCTTGAACTACCTCACACAAACTTTCTACGTTTCTTAAGTAAGCAAAGCTAACCCTTGCTATTGGAACTACACTGAATGTGAATAGAAAAATACACCTCCTTTAGAAAAACAAACCTATTGGCCAATGTTGAGACAATATCAGTAAGTATGTTTCTTATCTATTTCACGTAAGATGTCCATGTGTAATATATAGCTTGTGTACAGTAATGTACATCTAGAATATTGTGTTAGCTGTAAATTGGTGATTTTATTATTGTAGTCTGGTTTTGTAGGGTAAAAATAGCTTACTAGTAATGTCAGCTCATCCTTTACATTTTACAAAAGGAATAATTCTTGGTAAGCTTTGCATACAGATGAATTACTTTTGTAGGCCCAATATCTAGTCTATTTTTGAGAGTTCTTTAACTTTTATTACTAAAGTTGAGAAAAAAAAAATCCCACCCCAATTATTGTGATCATTCCTTCTGCCCCTTTTGAAGTATATTCTTAATTTTATTATGTCCCAAGAAATACGAAGTAGAAGATTCACCATTAAAAATACTGGGGAAAACTGTAATTGTTTTTTTCTTCCCCACATTTGATACCTTTTCCTGCTTTTTCTTTTCCTTTATTCCCTCCAGATAAGCTGTTGGTGGGGCATTACTGAGAACATTGTGGGTTTTTTTACTCATTCATGCCATAGGTCATTACATGTGCACCACTGGAATGTATACATTGTTATCTAGTATGTCAATTGGTTATAATGATATTTTAAATAAAAAAGAAAAAAAAAAAGTTTGACCACTATGCATTTAGTGTTTCTTCATTGCTAGGGTGGAACAGTTTCATATGGATTGCATAATCAGGCTGCAATTGAAATCTTGTTATTGTCAGTACTTATTGAGAATTCATCTGGTTTTAATGGTCCTTCAAGTCCTGTCTTGTGTGTGAGCTCACTCATGGGCAAAGTGACGTGGTTTTTCCATTTCTCCATTCCCACTGATTTTGGATGTGCCATAGACTGTCAATAGCCAAGTGTCGTTGTGACCACTGGGAATGCATTCTTGCCTCCTTGCTGTCAGCTCTAACTGCTTTATTTCCTGGAAATGCAGCTGCCAAGACCCTGTGCTGCAGAAAGAGGTAAGCCAGGAGTTGTCTAGTGTATGGGACAATCTCCCAAAACTGAGTCTCGGAGAGCCTGAAGGCTCTGACTTCTGGAGAGCTGACTTGTGTGCCCAGACCACTCACTGCCTGCACTGACCCCTCTGCTGTGAGTAAATCCTAACATAATGCATTTGATTGCCTTCACTTCCAGCAGGGTGTGGGTGTTTCCTTGAACAAAGGCAGCAGATGCCCCGGAGCTGTACTTTCAGTGTCCCTGTACAGTTTCAAGGGAAAGGGATGTGACCACTGCAGTACAGTGTAGCCAGCTTTGTTTCTGTGGGCCAGCTGTTTGTGAGATGTTCTTCTACGAATGTGATGGGACTCACGAATGCTCTTATTTATTTGCACGTGTCAGCATAAAATGCAGCCAATTTCAAAGGATATGCTACTAACAGAGCAAGGCTGGAGAGACAATCTTAGCTCTGCCCAGGACTTGTGTGTGGGTGACTCAGGACTGAAACACTCCTTAGTGCTACTGGCTTCAATGGAATGCGCTGGTGAATGTAGATGATTCAATGAGCTACCTCTGTTCATTTTCCTTTTTGTGTCAGAAATTACATGGATACCTTCTGAAGGGATTTTTTATTATTCTGAAGAGTTGTTTTGATTTTTTTTTTTAAAGCATATACTTGTGTTGGGTTTTTTCACTGAAAAGTTTTTATGCTCTTTTGCCTGCAGTGAAGTGGTGGGAAAAGAGTATGGAAACAGCAGATAAAGCTAGAAAAGAGTGTATCATCTTCCTCAGATAAGGCCTTAGTGTTCCATGAGGTTGTGTACAGCAGCACAGGTGGATTCCCATTTCTTGCATAATTGCCCGTGTCTGGAAATGAACATTATGGTCCTGTTGCTGCACTTAAGAGTTAACATCCACCATTGTGAACTGTAGCGTGAACAGGGTAGTTTGCAGCGTCTTGCAGGCTTTATTTACTGCAGCATCTCATTTTCAGAAGGAGCTGGAATTTATTCCTCATGAACAAGAGGCATAGATGGTGCTGGAGCACAGCAGTCAACCTGGAACTGGTTAGTTTCACTAATCAGTTTGAGTGTATAAAGTTTTTTGTGACACTGCAAAGAAAAATTAATTTTATCCTGAATGCCAGATTAATTTTACTGCTACAGATCTGACAGATTATCCTGTCCTGGAGCTGAAGCTTTGGGATAGGCAGGTTTATTCCCGAGTTCTGCTGTATGTAGCATTCCCTAAGGTTAAATACTTACACAGTTGGCCAGCAGTCCTGTTCACTGCTTGTCTTGCAAATTTGGTGTTTAGTCTTCCAATCAGCATGGCTCAGTTCTCAAGTTTGTTGTGTTCCCAAACTAACGGGAGAAGTCTGCATGTGATAGATACAGGAGATAATGCAATATACATAGTCTAAGGAATGTGTGAGCCACCAGGATGAATACAGTGAAAGGTTTCCATTTTGGGGATAGGAATAAAAGACGGCATTAAAATACCCTGGTTGCTACTACTAGTTGTATTGAACGTATCAGTAGAAACTTCCTTTTTATCAGTCCTGATGTTCTGCTTACACCCTGGTTCAAGCCACTCTCCAATATTTAGGTTTATTTTGTGATAACTGGCCCGGTACCACAGTGCCCTGACACACTGTGCTCTGCCAGCTCAGAGTCATTGTTACAACAACTGCTTCTTTATCACATTATGCATCTTAATGCTGCTGCCATCCTATTCCTTGCAAGATCACTTGTGACCATCACTAATAACCTAAGGCTGAGATGGAGAAGAAAGGTGGGGGTGATGCTTGTGCCTGCAGGTGGCAGGCGGGTGCTGCTGAACACACGGGTACCTGCTGCCTCATGCCAGGGGCAGGAAGGAATCCAGTGCTGCTGGAAAGCCTGTGAAGAAGGAAAAAAGCTTTGAAATAACTGAATTATCTGTCCACATAGCTTTCTGTACCACCTTGCTTGACTTGTCTTATCCAGAAAAGATTAGGTTAAAATGCTGGGTTTTGCTCCCTTTCAATGGTTTTCATTTTTATAGGAAGAAGTGTTACAGTGCAGCAGAAACAAGTAAATTTCCAGATGTTTAAATACTGAAATGGCTGAATGTCTATGAGATGATGATGAGAAAGTACACCTTTCAGTAGTGACTATCTGCTGCTATGTAGATAAGCCTATTCTAAGGTTATTTCCAGACTGGGAGTTAAAATACTCTAGTAAGAAATGAGATTCAGGGCATTTTTTGAAAATACTTAAAGCAAGCTCTTCATTGCTCCTTCTGTACTTTCCCTTTAGGCAGTTCATGTTGTCATGACACTTTTCTGTTAAAAAACTTTCTCCTTAGAGACTCCCAAGCTGCCTTAGCTGTCAAAGATAAAGTGCCAAGAAAGCGTGAACAGTGCAGTGAGTGCTGGGCTGGCAGGTCAGAGATCAAGCTGAATCTGGTGAAACAGTTTTCTGTGTGCAGGCTCCATGTGGCTCAGGGTGCTACAAATGCTATGCAGAGCTTCTCAGAATTCCTTGGACGGGCCCTGGCAGGTTTTTACCAGAAATTACAGCTTCATTCTAACCATTTTTCCTTAGTAGAAATATTGAACTTGGGCTGACAGGTTGTTTGCAGTATTCCTCCTGTCCCTTCATCTCCTTGTGGGAACCACCAACAGAAAAATATACTAGGTGTAATGAGAAGTGATATAAGGCAGCCAAGGGTCAATTGTCCAGGGAAGGTTAAAGATAAGTCCACACCTTTCCCCCTTTACCACCTCAACACTCCCCCTCCCCGCAATTGCACTAATTTCTCTTACTATAGGTTTTGCTATTAGAGTTTTATGGATTAAAAACCCTCAGCAGCTGGATCAGTTGGATGTCTTTTGATGATAAGAATCTTCCATATTCTACCTTGATGACTGATATTCCATATTCTACCTTGATGACATACATCAAGTCATGATTTTTTTTTTTCCTTGCAGCTAATACTGGTCTATTTTTGGCTCAAAAATCCCCCAGATACCTAGGGCAAAATATGCATATTTAAAGTTTCATGGAGTTTGTGTAGCCAATCTGATTATTTATCACATACAGTTTAATAAGTTGCATTTTTAGGAAACACTGAAACTGGTGGGTAAGGGACCACTTTAGTGAATTGTCAAGATTTTGGTATCTTCAGCTTTTTTGTAGATTTTGTTTTCACAGTATCTTCATGAAATAATGCCACTTTAGGAATGTATGGAGTTGGGAGAAACTTTATGTATGGAGTGGGGAGAAAACCACCTCATTAGATCCATCTGGTAAGCGACCCCATTGGCTGTGGTGCCAGACTGGAACTGCCCTCTCCCCACGCTCAAATGCAGGAGGCCCTCATGTCCAGCCTGTCCATCGGCTCTAGCCATCCACCCACCCTGCAGGACTTTCCACTGTCCTTGAGCCAGCAAAAGGATGGTGCATTTGAGTCCAGAGATGGCAGGAGAATTCTGGAGAAGAGTATCTTTTGTTCTGTGGATACAAAGGGGGCCCCTTTCCTGGCCATCTGACATCTAAACTTTCAAGCATTATGGTCACTCTTTCCCAGCTGGCCCAAATACTATAGCACATGTAAAGACAACGGAGCAAGTGTCACCAATAGCACAATCACTGTAGAATTACTCATGATACATGAGTATACCAGAACAAAATGTGCATTTTCACTCATTTTGCCAGAAATAGAAATTTCTATGCATGTTCTACTTGGGGAGTTTAGCACTTTGACTCCCAACAGTTAAACATCCTAAGGTTGAAAAAAACTCTTCCATTTCCTTCTGCAGGAGGTAATTTCTCTTCTCAGCATCTTCACGAGCACGTTCAGAATTCCTCAGCTTGATCTCCAGCATTGTGTATTTCTTTCGTTCTTGGTCCAGTTCTTCTTCTAACCTAAGCACTTGTTTCTTCAGGTCTGCACTTGTTTCTTCAATTCTTAAAACCAATGGAGAGAGAAGAAAAAAAAAAAAGCAGCTTTATAAATAGAGCTGATTAACTGTAATAGATTTGTCTCACTTAGAAACTAAGAGAAAGTTTTAAAGGAAAGAACTAACTGCCATTTCATTAATGTTGAATTTAAGGGCAGAGGCTCCTTGAAAGCTTGAGCCTCCTCTATTTGTATCTTGAGAAAATATGCTCAAATCTTAGAAAACTACATTTACTTTGGGGCACAAGACTGGATGTCTGAGGAGATGTCTTAACTCCTCAACTACACTGAGTACAAATATATAGTTCTGAAATAATCTTTTAACCTCTGTTTTCATCCTGATACTGTTTCCCTATATGGATATCCAGTACAGAGTATCACCCTTTGAGATCAGGTCAGAGTCCTTCCTCACCATCATTTAATGGTATTTTCTGTAAAGTCTGTTGTTGACACTGGGGTGGGGTACAAGATTGGACAAACCCCAACATGTCATGTGAGGAAGAATCTGAAGAAGAGTCTTTAAATCTATCTGGGCACAAAGGTCTGGTGCAAGACTCAGAACTTTTCGCTAAGGAGGTCAAAGAACAAGATTCATGGTTTTGTGACTTGAAAGAAACACAGAAGGCACAGCAATTGCTGTCCTCCCTGTCATGTTTCCTAATCACAAGACAGAGTTATGGTGTTCATAAAGAGAAGGGAATATTTTTAGATAGGAATTTCTGATCACTAGGATGTGATTTTAAAAATTAAACTTTTCCTAGGAAAAAAGTACCCCCTGTAAAATAGAATAGATTTTTGTAAAATATTAAAAAAACAAAACAAAACAAAACAAAACAAAACAAAAAACCAACACCAAACTACTCCCGCCTCTCACTGATACTCAGCTGTGAAGCTGGGGTGCTGACATTCCTGTGAAACTGAACAGGTTATTTTTAGACAGGGTAAATTATACTCAACAAGGGCATGCTACTGACTCCATACCAAAACAAACAAACAAACAAACAAACAAAATTGGGGCTTTGCTAGAAGGGTGTGAATTCCATTTTGTGAGCAGCCAAGAGGCAGTTATGCAGGCAGTGCAGTTTGTCCCCTTGAGCTGTTCCTTCACATTGTCTTACATATGAATAAAGATGGCAATGGGATCTTTGTCACAGTTTTCCACAATGAATCAGGAAGTCATACACAGGTGCACTGACCTTCACCAAGTTCTGCAAAAAAGGGCCCATCTTGGTGAAGGCAGACCTTTATCACCAGCCAGCTATGTCATCTTCCCTAATAGGACACGTCTGAAGCTGGGATGCTTCCCCCCACACACACACTTTAAAACATTTTTGTTACATTCTATAGCTTTGAGATGATGCCAGTGACATTTTTCTACCACTAATTTAGGGGTCGGCTACAGCAGCCTACATTAGCTGTCCATATTCTGAATTACACAGAGTCACAGTACCTACTGCATTTCTACATATACAACATAGCAGTCCTCTCCAAAATTCATCCATTTTCTTAAAAGAGTCCAGGTGGTAAACATGAATTACTGAAACTCAACAGAGAATGATAATTATATTAACCTTGAGGGAGAAATGCTCTGGAACAGACTGGTTACAGGAAGGCCATAAAACTTGCCTCCCTCTGACTAAGAGAGAGAAAATGGGCAGTTGATGATGAGAAATAACAGCTTTTCCATCAGCAAGTGTTCCTTACATCTGCCTCAGGCAGGTAGTGACTCTGCTTTGCCTCCAGTTAAGTATGTGCCAACAAAAAGCTCATATTCTTTCATTAAAACTTGTCCTGCTACACACACAGAGTTCTGCAAACCACACAAGCACATGTACAACTGTAAAGCAACTAATTATTATTTTGGGGGAGTAAATTATCTTCAATAAAATAAAGACAGTGAGGCAGCTTAAATTTTTCCTGCTAAGAAGCCTCCCTTCTTTGCTAGTTAGCTCCTGTCTTTCCCCAGAAACAGACTTTCATGCAGTCTCAAAAGGAACATATTTTTTCACATGTAAATTGCTGCAGATGTAGTGAAAACATTACAAAATTTTTGAGAGCTGAAAAACTTGGCTTGAAATTCTTAGATTTGACAGCACAATCCTTCAGGCTGTAATCCTGAACAGCTGGAGTCATCCTCTTTAATATATAAAGGCTGTGATTGCATCTTGCCTGGTTTTATGAAACTATTAGTTCATTACACATTTTCCTCTCAGCTACTTTGCCCTGTGAGACCTGGCCAATTTACAGGCCTCCCCTCCAGCCACAATGCTCTCTGCCCTGTCCAGCTGAAGGGGAAAGGCAGGTGTTAGAGCTGAGCAGCTGGAACTGCTCAACAGCTGGAATGAAGAACAGGTCTTCCTGGATGCCCCTGCTGTTCACAGCTTAAGGCCCTGTTGGAGCAGTTTTACTGATAAGAGGTGGAAAGCCATCTCTTCCCCCAGGCAGCAGGTAAGAATGTGCAGCCTGGTGTTTCTGTTTATTACTCTCTATGCCTGCATCAAGGCTTACCAGAGCAGCTCTGCAGAATTAAATGCAAGGCAGATAGATACCCTCATCTCTCCCCATTGTGCATCAGTTGGGCATCTAAAAAATCCAAATAAGCCATGAACTACCACCCTCCTTCAGAGACCTTTTCCTAGCAACCAGTGGTGTTCTCATCAGCTCCTGTAGCTGGAACACAACAAGGTGGGGGTAGTATTTTCTCCCACTCTCTGATGGAACTGAAACTACTACACAGCCTGTTTTTCTTTCCAGCTTCACACACCAAGGCAGGACAATGCATGAGGCAGAAATGCTGCAGAGGCTGGCAGGTCATGACCATCGGAAATCATAAAATAAAGCAGGAAGGTAGCAAACAGAATTCCTGCCTTAACAGCAGGAAGACATCAAACTTCAGATACGCTTCTAAGAAATTACTTAAACAAGAAAAAAAGCGGCAACTAATGCAGCCTAAAGCTGTGCTATACTATCCCAACAGTCATATGTGCTTTTGGTACCAGGTTTGGGAGACTGACCATAACCTGAGGTTGGAAATGCTATCAGGGTTTTAGTAATTGAAGGGGTATAACATTAACACCTGAACACAAAAAACAAACAAACAAACAAACCCAAACAAACCTCAGAACTCAACTATTAGTAAGAAATGGGACTACAGCCCTTCTTCAGTGCAAAGTGCTGGTGTTGTAGGGCTCAGGCCAATGACGATTCTTCTGTATTATAACATGGCGTGCAGTTTTGCATATGGTTGTATATTAAAACATATATTGTTGCTTAAAGGATTTAGCTTCAAGTGAATATTTCCCTGAGTGGTTGCCTGAAAGTAATTCTATTAAGCACATACACTCATAAAACCACAAAAAATCCACTGCAGAATAGTCAAGAGCAGTTTCCTAAAGAATGTTTCTGTTGGGAAAAGCAACAAGAACCTCTCAGTTTCAGACTGATTTGGTACAAATACCAGCACCTGCACAGACCAACAGCATTTCTTGTTAAGGCCTGACCACGCTGGGTCCCAGTTCCTCCCTCCAAGATTTGCTGTTTCTCTGGGGACACTCAGAGCAGACTTCGGCATTACCTGGGCAGTTCTCATTTCTACTGAAAACACAGAATGTGAAATACTGCATTTCCCCGCATGATGGAAATCCTTTTTTTTTTTTTTTT